CAGACAAACCAACAGACACACTTAGCGCGTTATATATAGTAGGATAGGGCCCCTCAAAAGTAGGGAAATGAAGGTTGGACGAAATTACCATGAAGGGAATAACATGGAAGGGGTACTCGGACGAGACTACAGTTATTGCAACTGCGCGAAGAGCTGTAAACATCAAGCAAGAACTGTACAGAACTAACTCTCATTGTCGCTATGGGACATGGCAAGTTGTTTGACCTTCCTACATGGGTTCCTTTGTGAACGGTGCAGCCTCTACTATGCCGGTGAAACTCGTCCGAGGATACACTCGGGCCAATCTTTGAGCCTTTATACCTCCCTAACTAGCCGTTTTCCGACCTAATAATGCCAGATATGGTTTACGCGGGGGCATGAAACCCATCCTGTGGGGGAACATCAGAAACCATTTTCATCGTGAACTCTGCCTTCAAGTTGCCCTACGCCGGGTTTCAGCACATGAAGGGACTTGTGATCCAAACCTCTTAACACAGAAAATACCACAATATTATAAGCTAAAAAATTCTGGCGTTCCTGCTCTTCAGGTGTTACTTTTTATAATATCTTGGAGGATATTCATTTCCATTTCATCAGGTCCTTAATTATGAGCGAGTTAATTGAAATTCTGGTGATGGGAAGAGTGTGATCAATACATCATTGTAATATACGAAACCTACCTGACTCGCTGCCAGATTCATGGCGTCGTTGGCATAAAAGTCTAAAAAAGTCTTGAGGCGTTAATTAATCCCGTCTGAGGAATGCGCCCATTCCACTACCATTCAGAATCGTAGTGACATGTTGAATGCGCACGTGGTAACCGAACCCAGAGGTTTGAAAGGCTCGAATTCTGGATCCTCTTGCCAGCCTAGGAGGATCCAGAATTCGAGCTTGTGACTATGCGTATGTGAAATGTGTCTCTTGCTACTACACCACTTCCGCCTTGTTGTTGGGATAATCTTGGGAGATATCAGCGACCATCTCTATTTCTAGAAGGCTTCAGTGTTCCTTACATTTCCAAATCAGTGCTAAACTGAAATTTGGCTCATATTTTCTTCCAGTTGTGAATCAGATCTGAAGCGAGAGTCCTAAACTACGAAGCTTCAATGTTGTATTCAGCCTTGGTACACGCTGCTCGTTTTCTAAAAGGTCGCTTCTAAACGTTTTCATATGTATTACGAGCAAAAGATACGCCATTGTATGTGAGCTTGCCCTAGGATAATTATAACGTCATTAGTTAGACTCTGGAAAATGTCTCTGGTGCTAGAACCCAATTCATACACAAGGGTCACTTTCACTCAATTTGAAGAACTGAGTGAACTAAAACAATAGAAGCAGAGGCATATAAGACTTTATGAAAAGAAGCCGAAAATGAGGCTTTTCGGAAAACTGAATTCCTCCCAACAATTAATAAATCGTATCGTTTAAGGTACGTACGAAGCCAAGCTTCATTACGACAAGGAAATTCTCCCAATTTTGCATCTTGCTGCCGACCAAATATGATCGGTTTTATTCAGGCATACATCGTCAAAACAAGCTGTGCTTTTACCTCTGTTTGGTTTCAATACGGTTTCAGGACCCGCTCTGGTGGTCTCGCAAGGGGCGTCGGTTGTTTGTAAACTCAAAAACCAGTTTGGCGCACACACGTCATTTCCTTTTCGGTTATCAGTAACATTGGGAACGTAGAGGGAAAATGATAAAGGGATCGGTCATCTAGATGACTGCAAGTTCACCCCTGTGGAGTGTATAAACATTTATAGATACTTCTTATGAGGTGTTGAGCCTGTTCCAAATTCCCGTAGTAAAACCCGTGTGTATGAAGTACAGGCTTCAAGAGTTTATCGACCCTTCTGATGGATGCACCCATTTGATATAGCACTTATTCCGATAATATTTCCCCAACACCGAGCGATCTTGTCAGTCCACTGCTCATAATATAAAGTTTCTTTCAGACAAAACGTTTTCGCACCTGAACAGACGAAATATCAGAGTCAGAGTCAGAGTGCATTGGCTTTTAAAATAGTAGTGGCCACTATTGAACAGACTGTGTCTCTTGATACAGCACGGTACTAACATGAGCGTAATTCGCTCCAAGGTTCATCCACAATTAGTCATGCAAGCGAATTCATATGTATAGTTTTATGTGTTTGCTTCAAGACTCGTGGAATGAGGTTAGTCACAGAGTGACCATATTGATTACCACACGAACAATGAGTCGTGGAGAGAATGATATTTCTCGGAAAAGCATAAAAGTAATCCTCAGTAAACATATGAATAGTTTCATGACAGTTCAGTCCTGTTACTGCAAAGTTATCCGGTTTGGGCCACATTAAACACTGTTGAAGCACAGATGGGACTCCTCGAGTTAATAAACTTCTTATCTATGCTTGCACTGCAAGCACTCTGTCACAGTGCGCCCAATAATGACTGAGACCGAAAAGTAACAACTGTCACTGTACGTATGTCCTGGGGAAAAACTTTGCTGAAGTCAGCCAAGTATTCATATACTTTAACGGTGGTGAAAGATCCATCCGTGATGATCAAAGAGCAATGGAATAGACATGGATCGTCGTATGATGCGCATGTGCCCGCTAAACGCAACCGTGGTATTTAGTGCTAATACGAGGCGTGCGTGTTAATGCTCAACGTGTAGTGAATTAAAGCGCAACCCCTCTCTCGATGGTTTACAGCTTGGGCTGGGCTCCCTCAGAAATAGTGTCTTCTGATGAAGGAGCCTTTATAATTTTCAATTCACTAGAGGCGATGCCTACTAATTGTTCCATAAGGAAACGAAAAACAGGGTGGCATCTTGCCGACTGACGCTCCGCCCTCCTGTCGTAGAACTGACCTTGTGTTGAATTGTTTAGGCACATTGTTTGTCTTAGTCTTGCGCAACTCGCTGTCAGCCTTCTTGCCAAGAACTTTACATTCATTATTGTTGCTCAAGTTAAACGTCGAGCACTACCAGTTGTAGCTACTCTTTTAGTTAGTCTATCAGTTCGATTCTTTATCTGGTTCATCGACTACAACCTATCTTGTTTCTACCGCACTGATATTAATGAAATCATTTTGCTGATTTTGACCATTTAAAAAGTAATTGTTTCCAAACTATCAGACATGGAGAGGAGCGGTATGAACTCGCTACCAGAAACACTTCATGATGCCCAGAAATCGATATTGAAGAGCAACAAGAAGCCTACTGTGATGGTGGCTATCACCGAGCCGAGTACGAGTGAGGATAGATTGAAACAACATGACGGTAAGCAGTCAACTTCGCATACATATCAAAAAAATAGACAGCTGTTTGGTAAGTGTTCGAATACTATGAATCAATCCGTAAACAGGATGTTTTCACTTGAGTATAACAGGTTCTGTCCGTGGCTACTTTACAACATAATGTTGCAGATGTCATTAGCGCGATGTTATTTGACCACAGTAGGTGATGTTATGAGTGCGATACTGAAGAGTGACTTGTTCGGCAGGTTATATCTCGACAGCTCGTCAATAGTCTGTGAAGAAGTGTATCATACTCATCTTCTGCAATATTTGACATTCATCTGAATTTTCATTCAAAGGAATACACTCATCTTTCCAGAGCTCTTGATAGTCAGCTTTCGGGGAGTGCTCTCCAAGACTTATGCATCCAAGCACCAGTTTCGCTCCTAATCTATACTTTGAGAGAGTTCAAACTCGTTTCGACTACTAGTAAGGGTTTTGAACCGAGTAGAGTTCCCCCAGGATGGTTTTACAAGTTCGGGTGAAGTGTGCGGCATTCACATAAAGCGATTTGGGAAAGGGGGCTCGTTTCTGTTGAAGAAGTTATGGACTGCCCGTAGAGGAATAACTTTTATAACATGAATTCAACCGTTGATCCGTAACGAACGTGACGTAATGGGACAGTCAATTGTGCAGTGCAGCAATTCACAGAGAAAATCAAAATTATGCTTGCACAACAGTTCAGTTAGCATTAGTCAGGTATGTAGCAACGGTTAGCATAGAAATCAATAAAAAAGGTCGAGAATAGGGGCTCTTAAGCCTACAAAATGGCTTGTAGCAGTTGTATAATATCAGACAATGATTACAGTTGATCGAGGGCGTATGGATTAAAGCCGCGAATGGCCCAGTGAGTAATGCTTTGAAATGAGATCCTCGAACCATGCATGTAATAAACGGTGCTTCTAAATGCTATTCCCTTCCCCTTCGCTCTCAATCGGCAAGGTATAAAACTGAGAGAATGTGCATTTATTCTGAATCACTTTCGATTGTGTAAAGAGCATTGAAGATTTAAGGAAAAGATTTGGTCATCTGTCGTGACCATTTTCCTATGATTTAATGATGGAGCTCAGAGTTTTGAATCAACTTTTGTAAATTTTCGAACGCACAGATCACCACTCACGTCAATGCGACGGAACGGTTGCAGTGCTCGAGCAGAAAATATCAAAACTGCAAACGGCGGCATCTACAGTGATGCCGACACCAACCTCTACTGAGAGAAGTGAGGGAAAAAGCTTTTTTTTCTATATGTACTCGTCATAGAAATGCATCGATGTCTGCGAGTGGTTGCATAGACATTTCTATTCACTGTTACTTTCAGAATTCACGGACTCGTTTTATTGGATGTCACATTTGCACAAGAAAGTCGGTCTCAGCCACATTATCCTTCTAGTCGTTCTGGCGACTTATTCTGCTCTAGGAGCTGTTGTTTTTTACTACCTTGAAACACCCAACGAGCGAATAGTAAGAGGAATACTTCTTCGATACAAATGGCGATGGTTGAAAATTGAAAATATCAAGAAACTAGAAAAAATTTCTTAGTATTCAGAAGTTTATAGGCAGAGGCTTCCTCCATTTATGATCTTGCACGGACTTGCCTGGTATAATTCCAATTCCACGTACACTAGTGAAATATCTCGCTGGTGAACACTCCCTCTCACATAAGCAAAACGGAACCCCTGCCTGGTTCACCGTTTTTCTTTTTGTATTGGACTGCATCTATAGAACATGCAAGCAAACATTTCGTAAATGGGGGACGGCGGTTCAAGCGATGTTGAAATTTCGTCTGAAGTTTCTTATTTTGGATACCATTTTGGATAAGATTTCCGACGTTCGTCGCTGTCGTTTGAACCCACCAAAAATAACGAAGCCCCAAAACCCTTCGCTTAATGTTCTTCCTTTATCGCCCAGAAAATCACAAACAAAAGGTCGCTCGTGCTCTCTGTAACTAAAAACGGCCGTTTCTCAAACCGCATGTCAGTTCCACGATTTTTGCACCTACTAAGATCCATCTGGACGAAGTAACAAGAAGAAGTTTATACCACTCTAAACAACAAAAATAGCAAGTGCAAGGTGCGCAAGGAGCGCTTCACTTTCCTATACGGCTGTTCTTAACGTATCGGCAAGGCGATCAGGGAAATCGTCTAATGCTTATTAAGGTTTGCCTTATCATCGTTTAAAATATTTGGGATTCTCTTTTAGGAGATAACAAAGCGCTCACCTCAAAATGCGCAATGTCCTCCTCGATTGAACACGTGTAGGAGAACTGTCAAAGACGGCCTTCTTCAACCGAAAATTTTTCGTTGTGGAAGTCATCTACAACTTCCAACGTTAAGGTGCTTACCCAATTGTCTGAAGAAGTGGACGCAGAAAAAAAATTCCTCGCAAGCTTCTGTTCAGCCTATATCAATGTTCGGGCCGGCACGACTGTCAATGGGGGAAACAGTCCGTAGTTTCGGGGAGCCGGCCGTCAAGCTAATCAAGAAATACAATCTGGAAAGGATTTTGGATTAGCTGCCGTTCACTGAACGTTGCAGCAAGATTTCGCCATTGCACAAAGAGCGAAGACAGGTCAAGTCCGTTGTCGAAACAACCTGGATTCACTGCTGTAGCGGAATGGCCCTTGTTCTCCCGAACTTCAAACTCTGGACGTATCAGAGAATCAGAAGGCGCAATTACATTTGTGTTTCAGCTGACTCAATATCCCTATACGTTAAAAAAGAACAAAATGAGCATACACCACATATTTGCATTTCTCATAAACGTCTAGACAGAGTTGTCAAGAGCAAAGTGTTTCATTCGGCAAGCTTTGCACACATTGCTTATTATAGGCTAACCAGTTGGGCCACGCACGCTAGTGCGTGGCCCAACTGGTTAGCCATGCCCACCACCGCTTACCTGCGACATGCTAGAGGACCAATATGAACACTAACGGTTGTTTATTTCATAACTGTTTTCTCACCTTGCTCACGTGATTTTCACACTCTCCATCGTGCCTACGTGACTGTCGGGAGGACACACAAACGTGCATACGAACAGACACGCAAAATTAGCGTTTTATACATATAGAGGATCCTACTATATATAATTCGCTAAGTGTGTCTGTTGGTGTGTCGGTGTGTTTGTGTGTGTGTGTTTGTTTGTGTGTGTGTCGGTGTGTGTGTCTGGCCGGAAATTCATAACTCCGGTCCCCGTGGACCTAGAGCGTTCAAACTTGGTAGGAGTACGGGGGGCAGGATGGCAACACTTATGGTGGGTGGCAGGACTGAACTTCATGCACAGGGGGCGGGGCGTGCGCAATAAAAAATTTTGGGCCGCAATTTCATAACTCCTGTTTACGTGGACCTAGAGCATTGAAACTTGGTAGGATTACTCTTCTCGTATTATACTAACAGTGGAGCCTCAGCGTTTCAGTAAGTAATGTAGGATATGACGGGGTCGTAGGTGCTCGGTGACAACTGATCATAACTGATAAGAGAAGATAAGGAACCTGAGAGAGGCTACGTACCGATCGAAATCCTCACGTCTTCGGTATCTACGATGTATCTTTGACAGTTCAGTATGTTTCATTCGATAAGAAGGAATCGGTAGAGCAAGGTGACAAAAGTAAGTGGTTAGTGCAGTGATAGGGACCCATTAGGGCAATACGATAAGCGATTAGAACTCCCTTCACATCTTACTATTAGATTACGACCGCTACCCAGTAAGGTTTGTGATCCAATGAAGGGTCCTATTCGGTCGATATCATTTGCGAGAAAACTTAATAGACCGCCCGTGATCTGGAATTCTCGGCTAATGATATCTCCGTGAAGAAGAGGGTCCATTGATAAAGAACATCTGATAACGATGCCATCATCACTCAGAACATCTCCACAGCATCGGCTTTGGTTGTCTAACAGTTGGATTTTTGATAGTATTTCTTTTATTAAAGGCGGCAAGAGATCGAGAATTCCAATTAAAGGCGTAAGCACCGACTTTCACTGTATGCTATTTGCGCTGCCCTGTTAGTCCTGTGTCGAATTTCGTGTACAGGAAACTATTATTTGTTAAAAAAAGGAGTGGAGTGTTAGCCGACTTACCACAACCTTGTCAAAGAAAGAGGGACGCTCGGCGTTAGCCGGACGAACTGACTATGTGATATGCTACGACGACATAATCTATTTCGAGCTCTGTTTCAGTTTCATACACTCACTCACAAGGGAAGGATCCCAAGTCGAAGTGGCTACTTGAAATGAGACCTAAACTGCTAGACGTATTTTTTGATGCTGATTTCAAATCTGCCAATCGATTGTTTGAACGAAGTTATGGAGGTGGTCTTCGGAAACGCTCAACAAGGGGAAGCACAAAAGCCATGGTCGCCGGCAGTCCAGCAGTGGCGGCTTGGAGTGGAGGTAAGGTGGACGCTTCACAGGCGGCGGACCAAGGATCGGGTTCGATGGGCGATGGATTTTTGCATCTTCCAGGACTTTTTCCTCCAGGTTGTAAAAAGCTTTTTATGTTATGTAGGCTATCTCTAAACCTCGGCATAGTTTAAACGTTGTTTTCTTTGCTTGAACTTGGACGAGGTGATAAAAAACTTTATTCCGGCTAACGTTTCGGCGTAGATCGCCTTCTTCAGAGCTTGGAACGATCGAAGCAATTTATGATTACCCGATCAAATGTATCAACTACCTTACAGAAATTCGAGACCTCAGAGATCATCACGCAACTGTAAGTTGGGCCACTTACCGTTGACCAGTCCGATCCCCGCGACCACCCAGAAGCCAGCAGCGGTCCAGTAAGCTCTTCTGACTGGATGTGATTCAGACTCACTGGTGGAGGGCTAACCTTATATACGGTCTCAGCTCCCGCGTGATTGTGATACACTCTTCCTTACGATTCATTTTTGGTCTAGAGACCTTAATCCAGAATGCTTCGAGGGTTTATCGCGCGAGTGTTTGCGATTCTCGTGCCAAGACCTCGGCCGTGACCTCGAAGTCGGCTCCATGATGAGTTTCCACCCTGTGAGCGCCTAAGGCAGTAGACATACGTGACCTAGCCTTGCCCTCTACGTGCTCCTTGATACACATAGCGGTCCTGATGTTTCGCTGACATACCTCTCCACAACTGCAACATGTGATCNGATCACATGTTGCAGTTGTGGAGAGGTATATATCAGCAAAACATCAAGACCGCTATGCGTACCCATCAAGGAGCACGTAGAGGGCAAGGCTAGGTCACGTATGTCAACTGCCTTAGGCGCTCACAGGGTGGAAACTCATCATGGAGCCGACTTCGAGGTCACGGCCGAGGTCTTGGCACGAGAATCGCAAACACCCGAACGAAAAACCCTCGCATTCTGGATTCAGGTCTCTAGACCAAAAATGAACCGGAAGGAAGAGTGTATCACAATCACGCGGGAGCTGAGACCGTATATAAGGTTAACCTTCCACCAGTGAGTCTGAACCACATCCAGTCCAAAGAGCTTACTGGACCGCTGCTGGCTTCTGGGTGGTCGCGGGGATCGGAGTGGTCAACGGTAAGTGGCCCAACTTACAGTTGCGTGATGATCTCGGAGGTCTCGAATTTCTGTAAGGTAGTTGATACGTTTGATCGGGTAATCATAAATTGCTTCGATCGTTCCAGGCTCTGAAGAAGGCAATCTACGCCGAACCGTTAGCCGGAATAAAGTTTTTTTTATCAAGCTCGTCCAAGTTCAAGCAAAGAAAACAACTTTTTATGTTAGTTTTACCGCCTTCAGCGAAGTTCTTGTGGCACTATTTACCCTTTACTGCCCCACCTTGTCGAGAATGGGCTGGATTTCCACCGAATTTTTTCAAAGAAGATGAAACCGGTTAGAAACTTGCCTGCAGGGGTAATTTGACCCGTAGGACACAAATATTGCATCCATTTGTCATAAAGATGCCTAGCGCTTGCGCTACGGGCGCTTGCGCCAAATCGCTGGGTCACCGCTTCTGCTGAAAACTTGCCCCTAACTAGTGTCACAGACGTTTTCATGATGAGTGGATGCGATATTCGTGTTCTACGGGTAAAATTACCCCTTTAGGCAAGTTTCTAGCCGGTTTTATCTTCTTTGAAAAAATTCGATAGAAATCCAGCCCTTTCTCGACTGAGTGGGGCAGTATAGGGTAGATAGTGCCTTTCTTGTTGCTTGAGGCGAGTCAGTTCCTACTTAAGCCGTCTTCCACTGCTATCGATTAGTTTTCAAAAAAGGTGGGGGTTGCGGTCAGTTTTCAAAAAAGATGATGGTTGCCATGTGGCAAACCCGGCAAAGTATGGAATATATGGAAGGATGTAACACTAAGAAACAAGGAGTATTTCGGATCCTGTGATGTTAAACGCGCTCTTACATGGAAGGAGCATAAGTTGAGAGATAGTTTCTCTTTTCTGCCTTTTCCCTATGTTGCGGAATCCGTCTCACGAAGACCTGGATATTGAGGGCGAAGAAGACTGCGTGATTGAGGACGAGGAGGCCGAACCAGTGTGGGAATCGGATGATGAGGAGGAAACAGCAAGCACATCTAGAGGGTCGTTGATGTTTGGTAATGTGTAAAAGGTTCTTCTTCCCAGCGAACTTGTTAGAGCGAGATAACAAACAAATCCAGATGGGAAGCGCTATCAGAAAAGTGAATTTTTTCATTTGCTGCGCTCATTGTGAAGGACTTTTTTTGTTTCAAACACTTCGTGCTAGATTATCGCATCCGCTTATAATAGGTAAAGGTTATCTTACAATGAATTGGAAATGTACAACAATAAGAATAGAATTTTTGTAATGTTGGTGGTTGGGTTAGATGTCAGACGGTTTAAGTAGGAACTGACTCGCTTTCTCTCTATAACTAGGTGAGTTTACACTTTTTTCATGTATGATGTTATATAGTTCGACTCAGCTCGTCGAAGTCTATAGGATGGTTAGTTCAAAATTTCGAGAACTTCATTTTTCAAGTCCTCGGTCCACCGAAGCTCCTGGTGGTACGTCATTAGCGGCGACGCTCGCCATAATTATGACCAGAAGACATTCTCCTCCATTGAAAGTATTCAGTGAGTTGTAGGGCAGCTGTCATATTTCAAAACCAAGCAGAAAGTAGGCCTTTGCATTTTTCATGCTTTACTGATCATTTTGGTACCATTTTTTTCCGAAATGGACAAATTCAGTCGTGCACCAATCTTGAACGATAGCGACTTTTTAATTTGAGAAATAGCTAATATGAGTTGATTCCCAATGCTAGTAAATGATCTACCTACACTTCAGAAATAGTGCTTCCCGACAGTCTGCACATTGTATGCACAAGTTCAATAGTAAAAGCGTTTTTATCGTTCCAATTCCGGTTTGCGGCATATTTTCGCCCAAAACACGCGTTTTCTTGCGTTTTCAGGTACGATTTTCGATGTTCATGAGGAAGTTACGCCTATCATCGAAAGTATTCATACTGAACTTTTTGTGAACAACCACGGATATGAGGGATATTTACTTGTTTGAATTCTCAGGCTTCATAAATAGCTTCAGATCTCAGCCCAAAGCACAGGAGACTGAACCCCATATTTTTTATTCCCCCATAAGTAAACGTATGAAATCCTACACCGTTGAAATTCCTTTTCAAAAAGCTATTCAGCGGTATAAAAATCACTTAACGAATCACACTTCGAATTAATGCCTTTAGCACCATAATTCCATTCTACTCCGCCACTCGGCCAATTAGGCATGTGGTCGAGTGGCTGAGGCAGCACATTGATTGATTGCTTGTTTGCTTTGATGTGCGCCGTCAATCGAACATTCATAGGAATTTGCTCTTATGATTGAATGTGCACAATTCCTACAAGCAACTCAATGGAGGAGAATGTCTTCTGGTTATAATTATGGCGTGCGTCGCCGCTAATGACGTACCCCCAGGAGCTTCGGTGGACCGAGGACTTAAAAATTGAAGTTTTCGAAATTTTGAGCTCGCCATTTTATAGACCTCGACGAGCTTAGTCGAACTATATAACATCATATATGAAAAAAGTGTATTACCTAGTTATAGAGAGAAGACGAAAAAGACGCAAATCCGCGTCTTTTTCGCCTTTTTTTGAATAATTAGGGTGGGTATTGTAGCTCCCATTTCAAATGGCCACTTCGACTTGGGATCCTTTCCTTGTCAGCTAAACAGCGGAAAAAACTTAAAAGCTATAAACTTTGAAAGAGGGAAAATTCTTCTGTTGAACATTTCTCGGAATAGGGTGTTTGACACAAGAACGAGGGGTGTGCGACGTTAGTCTCGACTGACATTACTTCGCGCCGAGGTGCGAAGTGACCTCACTAATGACTAACCTCATCTTAATTACGCGCCTCCCCTTGATCGTAACTAACCTTATTTTACTTCTAAGAGTGATGGCAATGATGATAATAGTGACAAAATGAAATTCCAAGAAAAGTAGTTCTTTAACGTAAAATTTTCATGGTCTTGGGTTTCAAAAGTTCTATGGTATCATGTAAGAAACATTCTTTTTTTGAATTTCCACTAATCTGTGATATCAGAGAACATTTGCAGAAGCGATGTAGTTGTTTAGTTGGGGCATCTCGTGTTTGTAAGTCATTGAACGCCCGCCGGCTGATCAGTCAGGCCATTTCACACTTCTCACGGATTATATTACAATACTTCAGGCTAAGTTCCAGTACGTTGAAGAGAATTCATGAGCTACTATTCAACATGGTGGGTAAGTGATTTATATGCAATCATTGACTACTGGAAGAAAGCCTTGCTGAGAACCTTACTATGTGTATTGAGGACCTACCCTACTGCTTCCGAAATTTCGCGGGGTACCTTTCAGCTTCCATGCAGTTCCAATACGCACCCCATTCCTTTGACTATGCTACTTCTGTACCGAGGCAACCTCCGCTCGTACCCGCACCACTACCATTATACGATGCTACTTCCATACCTATACAACCACGCTAACGCAGTTTCGAACCGCACTGCCACCCTTTACTATGCTATTTCTACTTCACCTTCCCAACCGTTCCAACCCGTACCGCAGCCTTCGCTCCAATCTAATCAGCCTGCCTCAATCCCCCCCCTCTCCCCTAGTACCTCGAACCTCCCCTGAAGACTTGTTCACGAGTTGGTAGGGTGCCAAGTCCCTCTCCATTAGAAACCCAACATTGAACTTACCGAGAACCGATCAGTACGCTTTGTGGGGGAAAGGCAGGTAAGTAAGCACAAAAAAATCGGGTTTTATGCGCACGAATAGGTATGATGAAGTTCTTCGATGCATTCAGTGCAAAAGACCATTTGAGTTGTTCAATTATTATTCCCAAGATACTTCTTATAAGGAAGATTAAGCTTCTTCAGATTTCATTGGAACTTTTTTGTTGAAATTTCTATCATCTTGCACGGTAATAAAACTTTTAAAACCAAAGACCATGAAAATTTTACGTTAAAAAACTACTTTTCTTGAAATTTCATGTTCTCACTATTATCATCATTGCCATCACTCTTATAAGTAAGATGAGGTTAGTTACGATCAAAGGGAGGCGCGTAATTAAGATGAGGTTAGTCATTAATGAGGTCACCTCGCACCTCGGCGCAAAATAATGCAGTCGAGACTAACGTCCCAACCCAAGAAGGAAGAGAGCCTGGCATTAGCCGGGCGATCCTACTGGTAAAATAATAGCCACTTATGGATATTTTTGGCGCATACTGTAATTCTGTCCAGGTGGTTGCTGCACGGAAGGAGTTACTGGATGATAGAATCGAACAGCTTGCGGAACATCTCACAGGCATGGCTGAGAACAAAACTATCGAAGAATTGGCGGTTGATGTCAAGGTAAAGATTAGTATTTTCCAGAACAGTTCAACAATGAAAAGAGGACATTAATCGGTTCGAACTTGCTGGGCGATTCCACTTAATGGTGAGCGCGTGATTAATATTCAAATAGAATCGTCAGCAGCATAGCAAAGAGAGCAGGAAAAAGGTCATTCTCTTCTCCTCTCCCTCCCCTCCCCTGAGCTATTACTTCTGCTCCCTTTTCCTATTGAACTCAAGTTTTTGTTGTCACCGAATTCACCTGGATATCACCAGCAACTTTGATTGTCCCAGAGATCTTTTGGATAGAATTAAATTGGTAATGATAACGTTTGTTGAAGGTGCTTATGGTTATGTGAAAAATGTGAATAATGGGAGACACGCTAACGGGTCTTTTCACATTGGCTTTTAGGCAGCCTACATTGATATGCTCAACACTGAAGGAAGCTACAAATGGTCTACATTTTATCGATCGGATGACCCCAGGAATAATTATAAATGGACATATGCGAGCAGCTTCTTTTTTGCAATGAATGTCTACACAACAACAGGTTATGGTAAGTGCATAAAAGAGTCAGCAAAAGGAATATTGATAGCTACACCTAATCAGGATGAGGGTGGTAGAGTTTGAGAATGCAAATGATTAACGACAAGGAACTCAGAAAAGACAAAAGTTAATTTTTTTGCGTCATCAGTCCATTACTGGAATATGTCCCACCAATCCCTCTTGGTAAAGAATCGTGTGGGTCGCCTCTTCCCGTGCTGCCCTGGCGTATCCATACCTCGAATGGGGTTTTATTCAGAACAGTCCCTTTTCCAGCCTTCATCATACCTATTACTCAAGACCTCCTCCTTCGTTCGGAGTGCGATGGATCAAGCTGTCCCCTCTGCCTGAAGACTGTTTTCAACCAGCAAGAACTCTTTCCTTATACAGCTGACCTCACCAGGCTTCCACAAAATCGCATCATCGCTGACCTTCATATACCTTACTACTTCGATGGTTGAGTAGCACGGGGTCACGCTTTTGCCAGCTAGAAGACGAATTTCTCTCTTTTTTAACCACCGAGCCTTTGGAGTTCATCTTTGCACCTGGCACAGCGGGCTTGCAGTGCGTTCCATGATATTTGCCTCCAGAACCCTATTTCGTGTCTGTGCTCAACTACCATCTGTTCGATAATCTCTTAACAGCGGAAATAGTTGATTCAAGGAACCCTGCCATTGCTATGACTACACCATTCCATTTGGTGTCTTCTCCGTTGTTGTGGAGCTTGACGCCTTCTATAACATCCCTGACTTTTGCTCCTTTCCAGCGCGTCTACAAGAGGACGTGAATGTTCATGCTTATCATAAGGTTGGCGATTTCTCGGAACTTGCTTGTAAGCGATCCGAAAATTGTAATAATAAAAACTCGAACTAACTTTTTGGCTCGAAGTCGCTCTCTTCTTGTTAGCCCTCTGGCCACAGTACTCGGGCGAGGGATCTGCGCTACATTGTAGCATGACGTCTCTTTATGCGACTTCAAACAGTCCTGTTGTAACTGGGTTCCCCCGTCAGCTGACGTGTCAGGCTGGGCCGGCGGTGAAATGGTCATCAGTTCTGCAAACTTCATAGGGCATGATTTCGCCAGTGCAGGGTTCTAACCAGCGACATGCTTGTATGCAGGTGCGAGTTTGAGGTGGTCTTAAACATTCAGCTATCCTTGCTTTTCAATATTTTGAAAATTCTCTGAGTGAAAGATACCGACTAGAAGTATAAGTGAACCCTTTCCGGATGGTTTATTATATGATTTCAAACGGATGTCAATAAGCGTTTATCGTGATCTCTTGAAAGAAGGGCGGTTACCGCCTGAGCAAGCCAAGTTTTTCTTATTCTCTAACGATAGAATGTTAGCAGATGATTTCTGAGTCCCAACACTCAGCAGTCCCTAATTTTAGGGTCGATCGCGCCTGAAACCCGTTCTGGTCAATGGTTCGTCATAATTTATGGTTTCATTTTCGTACCAGTGACATTGGTGGTGATTCGTGACCTTGGGCAGTGGCTTCTCCTAGTGATTACCAGAAACTATGCTAAGATACTTCTGAAATGCAGGTAGTGACAATCTTCAAGGAGGAGTTCAGCTCATAAGAAATCGTCAAAAATTGATTTCCAACTAAATCTTTATAACGTTCATGCTCCTCCTTTATTTCGTTATCTGCTGCTGGCTACTACACATCATTGGAAGCTCCCTATTTAAAGGCATTGGCGTAGAAGGAAGTCGAACAATCTAAACGAAGTGATTCGATTACCAATTCTCTTCAGCTGTGTTATTATGCTCGGTGAGTCTCGTAGCCACAACTTTCGTTGTCCAACTTGAACACTTGCGAGATTTTGCCAATGACAAAAAAAGTAAACCACTGGTTGATAAACCACGGGTGTGGGAAAACTTTTTTTGTATTTTCTATATTTCAGAAATTCACTGAGCCACTGAACACTTCCTACTCAACCTAAACCACTTGATGAAATAATGAGCGTTGAAATTTTGCAGGTTTCATCGGCTTTTGTACTGTGTTTATATATTATTTGGACGCATGTTCTGGTCCAGCTGGCTCTGGTCTTGACTGGTTTCATTCTATGTACTTTTCCTACATGTCATTTACAACCATTGGTCTAGGTGACGTCATGCCTAGCAATGCCACGGCAAGTGAACAGTTAAAACCAAAGTTTCGTTAATGTCGACTCCTATTTTCAAAGTGCAATCAAGTTGCTTACGTACCTTTCCGAAACATTTTTCTCTAGAATATAATCACAATTAGAGAGTAGAAACGCTACTCAGTTTGAAGTATTTTTGGAAAAAAGACTCACAAGAGCGGTTGTTTAGTTCGCTCCGATCGTTTCGATTCTTTTCTTTCTCGGGCTCCCAATTATGAAGGTCGTCAACAGGATGACCTATTTAACGGTGGAGAACGGAGCTTTCGGTTTGTCTCTCATTTCTAATTTTTTTGTCTTGAATTTCGGCTCCAGGTCGGCTACTGCAGAATGCCATGTCGTATTCACTAACCTCGATTTTTAATTGTAATCAAAACGAAATTGCAGATAATACTCAAGTAATAAATAACAGTTTGCAAATTATTCCATCAATATACTGAGAAACTCTTTATCTAGGTTTCTTAGATTAAAGGAAGCAAATATGACTGAATAGCCTCTTGATTTCAGGATTGTTGACAGTCATCGAGAACAGAATCGACAATTTCTGGAAAGAAAAGCAGGCAACAACAGCTAAGGTTAATGCTATTCACTGCTTCGAAGGAAAGAAAAAGCAACTTTTTGGGAATATCAATTCATTAACAATCGACCAGTTGGACTATGCACGCTAACGAATGCCTTATACATCCACGACCGCTCAACTACAATGGAATCAACTAGTGAAATATTTGATGTATCAGACTAAGATAGTTCTCTTCAAATTCAACGCTGGGAACGCATTGACGACAATCATCCCGCTCTATATATTCCATTTGAGAATAATTGCTAGTGGATGATCATAGCCCCGCCCCTCTCAGTGCAGTCCTCCACTATGAAAAAATTTTATCGCATTTTTCTGAGCCCTCTTGACAATTTTTCCCGCAGTCTGGAATGTGTTTGAGCATGAGCTTTCGATTTCAGCCCGCCTAACCCTACGCAAACCCTTATTAAGCCAGGGATTTGACTACGTCACCTCTACAACCTCGAGTTACTTTTATTGTGTTCTAGAACGTTTTTGAACAGTTCCTTGAAGTAGACGGGATTTGCACATGGGTGGGCGAGGATTTTTGCCACTCCCACCCGAATGCAAACCCGCCCACTTCTTGATTTTGACGAAATTCTTCAACTCACTCTAACCACTCTTTTTCTACGTTCTAGAACGTTTTTGGACTTAGTTACGAATCTCTTATCTGAGCCTCGTCCACCTCATTACAAACCCCTCCCACTTAAAAACTCCCTGTTTCTCTTAGCTTTCTGGAATAATTTTGATCAGAATTCTACATGTTGTTAAAAAGTGACTTCCATCTGAAAGCACGCCCCTCCTATCGTGGGCACAGCTTTGCCAAGTTCTGACATGTCCAGTACTTATGAAGCATGATATCTCTTTTTATTTTTTTCCTAGCCTCCACGCCTCCGTTGAATCATACTATGAACTTATGTGAAAAGTACCGCCATCTGCAAGAGCACCCTGCCTAAGTGATAAGTCTCCTACAGTTCACTTGTTGATCCTCCCTTCCTAAAGTCTGAAAAAAATTAATAGGCTGTTGTAGAGAGAGCGGTCAAACTTCTATAGTGAACGGTCGAGCAACCGCTAGGTGTTGATGGAAGTGGGGTGGCTTCTTTGGATTCCTACGTTATTTGAAGTGAGTTGGTCTGAGTTGCAACTATTAGGTCGTGAAGAAAGTTCTTGCGGTTTTGCGCCTCAAACTTCAAATGCATATACCTCGGCTTGAACGAAACTTCATCAATCGAAATAACAACCATTACTATCGACACACTTTGTTAACGAAAAACAAGTTCGAGTATCCCATTCGCATAGAAGTCCGGAAATCTAGAGGCGATGAAATCGTCGAATGCCGCGGCAGCATCATGTTGGGTTTTGAAGCATTTCTCCTTGAGAAAGCGTCGAGATGTTTAAAGAAATGGTAGTCTATGGGAGCAAGGTCTGGGGAATATGGTGGATGCGGGAGGGCTTCATAGCCTAGCTTCATCAATTTTCTCAGGGTAAGTTGTGCGACGTGAGGCCGAGCGTTGTCGTGGAGTAGAATTGGCCCCCTCCTATTCACCAGTGCCGGGCACATGAGCTGGAGTTTTCGATGCATTTCGTGAATTTCTTGACAGAACTTTTCGGCTGTTACGGTTTCTCCCGGATCCATGAAGCTGTGGTGGATCAGCCCGACTGAAGACCACCAAACAGCACCATGACCTTCTTTTCATGCTGCTTCGGCTTGGGAAAATGTCGTGGGGCTTGGTCCTTGTACAGCCACTGGCCTGATCGTCGCCGGTTGTCGTACAGAATCCTTTTCTCATCACACGTCACAATACGGTCTAGAAATGGATTACTCCTGTTGCGCAGAAGCAAGGCGGAGGCGAGCTCGTAGCGGCGGTCTTTCTGGTGCTGAGTCAACTCATGCGGCACCCACTTATCGAGCTTCTTCTACTTCCCGATCTCCTGCATGTAGATGCCAACCGTCCTGCTGGAAACACTCAATCTTGAGCCAATATCCTTCAGCGTTGTACGTGGATTCTCTTCCACTAACGCTCTGAATTGTTCGTTGCCAACGACCGATGGCCGCCCACTGCGCTCATCATCTTCCAGGCTCTCATCACCGGTACGAAATTTTTCAAACCACCACTGTGCTGTGCGTTGATTCATCGTACCTAGATCTAAGTCATCGTTGATATCCCGGTCCGTTTCCGTCGCACTCCTGCCCAACTTGGATTAGAAAAGAAAAATCATGCGGATCTGTCGTTTGTCCATGCTGATTTCGACCTTCTAAAAAACCACAGGAATCACTCCAGGGCAATACCGATTATATATTTGGATAGGGCAAGAAATGCGCTTCAGAATGGTATAAAACTTGCAAAAAATCTAATAGCAAATAACATCGCGGCGAGCATTTGAAAATTGGGCGTCAAAAATCGCAAGAACTTTCTTCACGACCTAATAGTTAATCGTTAGTCTGCGTGAAGTGTAGTAGGTAGCACTCACAGGTTGAAAACGTTTTTTGTTGTGATGCACCGGTTAGCGTGCATAATCCACTTTATTACAGTTACAGTAGTTAATGGTTCTAGAGGATTTGCTTTAGATGCCTTTAAGTCAATCTAAATCATTATTTTGACATTTCAAGGTTTGTAGCTTTTATTTCAAAGCTTATCTGCAATAGAAAAATCACTACACGAAAAGTATTTCGCCTCTCGAAATTTGAACAAAACAATCGTTCTAGGATAAATGCAGCACAAACGAGATCGCCACGGAAACAAAGGATGGAAGCAACAGCGGGGAGGTGAGTGAAATATTCCAATTCACTGAATTGCGGCTATGTTTTTGACTACTTGTTTCTCGATGCATCGATGAACTCAATACACATGTGGCACGGCCTGGATTGAGAATATGGAAATGAGTGATTTTTAATTTTTTGACTGGAGTCCTTGAAATGAGTTTTGTGGTGCATCATCACCTGTATCACCTGTCGTCCCGTTGATCATCGATTTCCTCGAGCGGGCGCCAGTAGCGTCTCCATTTGTCCCTGTCACGAGCCAGAGTGGTCCAGTGAATCGTTCTTGCTTCAGGGACACGAGGTTCAACATTCCTTTCGTTCAGAGCTTTCGTGAAGAAGTCTGGCCATCTCGTTGGCGGCCTTCCTGGAGTTCGTTTGATGTCCCGAGGGATCCAGTCAGTAACCGCCCTGGTCCAACGGTCATCACTATATCGCATAACGTGTCCGGCCCACCTGTTCTTCGATTTCTTGGCGTAATCAACGGATCCCTGATCTTCGTTCGGTGACGGAGCTCGGAACTCCGGATTCCCTTCTGCACTTGCGTGTATAGGGAAATTCCGAGCATCGTCCTTTCCAAAGCGCGTTGAGTGACGCTGACAGCATGCTCATCCTGCTTCCGTAGAGTCCAGGTCTCCGAGGCGTACGTCAAAGCAGGAAGGACAGCAGCGTCGAAAAGGTGAGCGCGGAGCCGGATGTTCTTTGTCTTCTTCACTACTCCCTCGATATTCTTGAATGCTCCCCACGCGGCGCGTTTCCTTCTGCACAACTCTGGAGCTAGGTCGTTCATCATGTTGACTTCCCGACCTAGATACACATAGCTAGAGCATTCGGAAATATTCGTTCCGTTTAACGTGAAAGGAGCATCAAGTACCAGTCCGTTTTTCATGAACATTGTCTTCGGTAGGTTCAGCCTCAAGCCGATCTTTCCACAAGCACTATCAAACTCGGCCAGCATTCGTTCCGCCTGCTCGATGTTCGGTGTTATAAGCACGATGTCGTCTGCAAAGCGGAAGTGATGTAGGAAGCGGCAGTCGACCTTCTCTCCCAAGTCTTCCCATTCCATATGACGCATGATATTCTCGAGGGCGGCACTGAAAAGTTTGGGCAAAATAGTATCGCCTTGCCGGACACCTCTCTTCACGTTGACAACGATTTCCTTATAGAATGGCGAAATCCTGGTCGTGAAGCTGTCGTAGAGCTCACGAAGCATCCTTATATATTGCGTAGGAACACCCTGGTTGCCCAGGGCNTCGATAAACGTAAGACATAGCGGCATTTTGTACTCTCGCGATACTTCAATGAGCCTTGTTAGAGTGTGGATATGATCGATTGTACTGAACCCTCTCCGAAACCCTGCTTGCTCGCATGGCTGTCCTTCATCTAATATTCTGCCAATCCTGTTTAGGATGACACGAGTGAAAAGCTTGTAGATTACGGACAGCAGGCAGATTGGGCGATAATTGCCAATATCGTCTGGATCTCCCTTTTTGTACAGCAACACAGTCTTGCTAGTTTTCCACGACGTGGGCACTTTGCATTCCGACAGGTACCGTGTGAAGAGCCTTGCCAGAGTTTTGATGATGGCTGGTGGTATACTCTTCAGATGTTCTGGTTTGATCTTATCGGGACCGGGCGCTGTACAGTTCTTCATCGACGTGATGGCATGTCGTATTTCGGAAAGGAGAACCGAAGGAGCGATATATTCGTCTTGCCCAAGATGGTGAGTAGGCAGGTAGGCTGTCGAAGAGATCCGAGTAGAAGTCGTAGATGACCTTCTCCATTGCCCCCCGGGATGCAGTAACGGTTCCGTCCGGACGCCGAAGGGAGGTCATCTTGGTCTTGTAATTGGCGAAGCTCCGTCGGGCTTTGCGAATGCTCTTTCCGGCCTCGGCGGCTTCGTCCATGACTGCTGCTCTTCTCTTCCTCTTCCTTCTTCTTTTGGGCAGCCTGTTTTGGATTTGATATTTTAGCAGCCTCTCCCGAGCGGTCCTACCCAACGCTGCCGTATCGGGGGCTCCCTCAGGTTCAGGGGAATGAGGCCCATTTCTATTACTGTTTTTGGCGTGAAGATACCCAACGTGCAGCTTGCCAGGCTCTGGCGTGGGGGCTATTGACTTCGGGGACTTGCCAGGCTATCCCGAAGTGGACAAGGGGCTTTGTTTTTGGAGGCGGCCCCAAATCGCCTCCCAGATACTTCCCAGCGTGACTTGTTCGTCACTCAAATGCAAGCTTTTGGCCGAGTCGATGGACAGGACACCAACTGCACCCACAGACTCTCCACACACGTATGCGTGGATCGCCCGCGAGAAACAGAGGGTATATCGACCCAGCACAGCAGAATCAAGGAGTCCATCCCCTGAATCCACCTGCCTCTGAGAAAGTACCGGTGACTTTTGGTCGGCGATTAATTCCCCTATCCGCCACCTGGGGACGCCCTACGTAGCCCCGTCACTAACCAGCTGGGGATCCTTCAATGAGAGAGTACTCTCAGTGAAGGAGATCCGTAGTGGTGCAACATAGGTTGTAGAAAATGACAATCCTGCAGAATATCACCATTGCAGGAGTAGTTCTTACAATTTCCCATTCCATTTTGTTTTTGCGAGGTGATTATCTAGGATTGCAAAAGTTTGAGCGGAGATTATCTACAACGTTATAATACTTATAATCTGATTTCCTGACATTTTCTATCCCGCAGTAATGATAGTCAAAGTGATAAATTCGAAGCTAATCATCCCAAATTCACTAATCACTGCGTACAATTATTCTTGTCCTTGTACCGAACGCTAAAAAACGTTGCTCTAAGAAAGAAGAAGAGTCAAGGAGCTCTTTGAATGCATAGCGATGTGGTGAATTCAATTTTTGATTGTAGATCCCTAATGAGTGGGTAAACAACATCACAATCCACTCGATCGCCACCTTCATGAAGGCGAACCGCGATGTATATGGAGGCAGTTTCGGAAAAGTAAATCTACGAGCTGCCGACGTGCTCTCTTCAAACGAGCAGGATACTGTTCTTTCCGTAAGATCCCATCATCAACCGCTCTGATATTTCACGCATCTGAACTAGTTCCGTAGCTCTTCTGATTGATTCGAGGAAATACTTAAGCTCACAACAACGGAAGTGTGCAGATTTTACTAATGGTAATTCTTCGCTGTGTATCTGTTAACGGTCATGAAGTCAAATGTTAACGCATCTATGAAACCTAAGCCAACTGCGCAATTACAACTTCTCTTGAAGGTCTTGGTTATCTTTCTCATTTATAAAGCAGTAACTTGGTTTGTCGGTTTGTCGGTGCGTTTGTCGGTTTGTCTGTCTGTCCGTCCGCGAAACTTTATCCTTCTTATATATAAAGCAGTAACTTGGTTTGTCGGTTTGTCTGTATGTCGGTATGTCGGTATGTCGGTATGTCGGTTTATCGGTCTGTCCGTCCGGGTTACTTTGTGATTATGTATGGAAAACTTATTCTTCTTATATAAAAAGCAGTCACTTTGTGGGTAGGCTAATGGAGTAAAGTGAGCACTGCGGAGTGAAGTGAGTAATATGAAGTGAGGTGGATGATTCAAATTGTGATCTCTACTGTACTGTAATGGCAGTACTTCGACACTGGTGATTACGATAAAGGCAGTGATATGGGAAATCCAGCTCTAACCTACATTCCTCTACATTTCTCCACTTAAGGGGGGGGGGCAATTCTGACTGATTAATAAATGTTAGGAATGAGGGCTCGGCGTAAACCGGGCGGCCCAACTGGTTAATTTATATACCATGATCGACCTTCTCCTAATCTTGGCATGACATTTGATTGGTATATATGTATGCTCGTTTCAGACTTTCTGAGATTTTTAAACTGAAAAGGGCTAAAGTCTCGATAAGTTCACCTTCGTCGGAACATAAAATTCAAGAAACAATTCACAATTGACTCTCTCATACAGAGTTCAAGGGGTCTTCTTGTACTGATAATTACCTAGATTTGTCTTGCCTTAGGGAAGAGTCAATCTCAAATAGCTTTTCGATTGTTGTTAAGTGAAAGCGAAGCTCTATGAGCCTGTGAAGCTATATAAATGACATTTTAGCCATACGAATGCTTGCTTGTGACCATTAATCTTGTCTGTTGACCACTCTCCTTTCTCCTTTGATCGAAAAGTGACTGTGATAATCAAACTCTTTTTCGATTGGGTACAATTCGGAAAGGCAGTCTCTTCTGTTCTCTTCAAATCTTATTCGAAGCAAGCTCACATCAGAGGATGAACAGCAATTCTATTCTATCGACCTTTCACTATTCCAATTAGAAGCTTTGTTAATAGTGCGTCTCGAAACGCCTCATGTTATATGATTTCTGACGTGATTTTACGTTTCTATACTTTCAGCATAAGAGTGAAGGGTACAGCACACAAATAAAAACAATAGCGTTCAGCATGCAATTGAAAGAAGATAATCATCATGAGTAAAACATTTATTTGAAGGCGCCATTCTTCGCTAGTCTTCATGATCGAGCATTTATTTCTATTTATTCCAGGTAGTTGCAGCATAGGTCAGTTGTTGAGTATAAGGCTGAACAAAAGATAGCATAGTAATTTGGTAGAAAATATGAACGAATGAGAAAGATTCTCTTTTGAACATGTAATACTCGTGTACAGTACCTACCTGTAATTTCGAAAACATCTATTCTACATAGAAATAAGGCAGTACACAAGTCTGTGGAATGTTCCTCTTCAGCATCGCCGCATCAGCTCGAACTAAATTTAAAAAACTTGTTATTCTTTCCAACATTTCCAACGTAATAGCGAAGCAAGAAGGGCGCCCTCCAAAAGTTTAAAAAAATTCCTGTTGTCCACGCATCATTTTATGGTTCAACCTTCCCAGAGTCATGCTTCAATGCAATCATAACTCGAATTATCCGCATGGAATGCAGTTCCATTTCAGCTGACAATGAATATTTACTGTGGCTGTAATCTGAGGCATCATTGTGCTAATGTGATCTCTGTCCAATATGTGGTTTCCGATGCAGTCACACTCAGATGAATCTTTTTACTTTTAGGTTTCCAACTTTTCAGAGGAGTCTAGAATCGAACTCTGACCGGAAACTCTGCCTTATTCTCACGGGTATTTCGGTCTCCCTCAATTTGAAAAAGGTTCTCATAAAACTAACCTGCTCGGAAATACTTCGTGGAATCACGAAATTCCTTTCTTGGTCCAGATTACTCTGCATATACACTCCTTGAACTGTACCTCGGCAAGCGTCGTCGATCGCATCGGATTCCTCCTCTATGCTTGAAAGTACAGTAATTGAAAGGATTTTTGATGGCCATGAATATCTAGGCGAATCTTGAAATGATCCACGTACTTCTTGACTTTGTAAACTTTCAACTTTCTAACATGATCAACTCTTTATGTTGAACAATGGGATATAACCTTTCAAAAGGGGATCAGATATGTAATGCCATTTAGGGGTTCTCATCGAAATAATTGAATAATTGAATAAACAGTAAATAGCCCACTCTAAGCAAATTGAGGTGGTTACGATCTTGGGATCGGGAACGTCCTGATATTACTGATTGTGAGTACTTCATGCCCAAAACGTGGTATGCCATCCTAATCGGTGGAAAGGCCGAGGAGTAGCATTGGAGAAAGCGCTGACTCTCATGTCTTTATCTGAGGAAGGATTCAACAGCACACCATTCACTCTCTCGTAAGGAGTGTATGATGAGTCCTATACAGCAACACTTTCATAAGTTTGCGAAGAATTGGGATGTCATGGTTAGCACAACAGGGATCAGCTCTCAATCAGGCTCTTCTAATTAATAACCGGAAATTGCAGCAAAAACTGGATTGGTGGCTTGAATACCGTTCTCTATGCTTCTGAAATACTTTAATGGCAGGCGGCAAAAAATATTACCGGGACAAGAGCAAAATGAAAGTGTGCTTGCAAGGAATGCCCTGCAGCAAGCGTGAGGGAAATCAAAATTTGGAATGCTGAAGAGTACGCAGAGCCTATCGTGGATGTAGTAGAAGACATTTAATGAGGCTTTCGAGACCCGTAAGCACGGCCTCAATGGAAAGGTGAATATAACTATGGCCGGGCTGTGAAGGCTCGGGAAGTTGATCACCCATAAATGAAGGGACTTTGCGATCGACGGTAGTCAACCTCGACAGTCGAAGGAAAGATGCACTGGGTCATGCCCGTATCTGCTGTTGTCGCGATCGCACCGGAGAAAGAAGGGTGTTAGAAGGTCATGCATGCAGTCCCCAAAAAAACAAAAATGTTATAGCAGCTTCTACAGTGGAGCCGATACATACAGATAAGATCATCGAATGGTGCTGCCAGAAAAGCACTGGATTCCAGAAATAAATAGTTATGGCCTCGATCAAACAAAAAATTTCGACTACGTTCATCTGACTCACCTGTGCAGCTGATACTTTGACTGGACCTCCAGTTCCATAGTGATGTGCTCATCAACGACTTGCGATCCTGAGATAGCTCTACTGATGCCTATTTATTTTTGCAACCTCTGAAGCTTTCAGTGATTGCGAAAATCTCTAGGTCTATCTTTTTAATCACTTTGCGAAAATGAAATCCGTCACCCATGTCTTCCTGGAGTTTGAATAATAGTAAAAAAAGAAAAGCGAGGTGAACTCACAGAAGCAAAATGAAGTGCAAAAACAGCAGAGCAACATTCACTCGATTGTCGGCAAAGTATAAAAACTCATGAAAGGATCACTACGACAGAACATCCGGAGTCGTGGATGATTATTACTCTACTACAGGCCGCTCGTATAAAAGTGATCCTACTTTATATAATTCGCTAAGTTTGTCTGTTGGTGTGTCGGTGTGTTTGTATGTGTGTGTGTTTTTGTGTGTGTATCGGTGTGTGTGTTTGCCGCAAATTCATAACTCATGTCCCCGTAGACCTAGAGCGTTCAAATTTGGTGGGAGTAAGGGGGACAGGATGGGAACACCTTTGGTAAGTGGCAGGATCGGTTTCCATGCATAACGGGCGAGGCGTGCACAATAAAAATTTCAGGTCGCAAATTCACAACTTCTGTCCCCGTGGACCTAGAGCGTTTAAATTTGGTAGGAGTAAGGGGGACAGGATGGGAACATCTATGGAAAGTGGCAGGACCGGACTCCGTTCACAGGGAGCGCATCGTGCGCGCTAGAAACTATGGGCCGCAAATTCATAACTCCTGTCCCCGTGGACCTAGAGCTTTCAAACTTAGTAGAAGCACAGGCGACGGGACGGGAACTTTTATGGTGAATGGCAAGGCCGGAATCCGTGCACAGGGGGAGGGGTTTTGCGCCGCAATAGTCAATTTGGCCCTAGGGCATTCAAACTTGGCAGGGGTACAGGCGGCAGGTTGGGAACATTTATCGTAGGTGGGAGGACCGGAACCCGCTCATAGAAAGCAAAGTTTGCGCCAAATCTTTCAGTTTGCCTCTAGGGCGTTCAAACTTGGTAGGAGGCAGTATGGGAACAGTTATGGTGAGTAGTAGGGCCGGACTACGCCCCCAAGGAACAGGATGTTACGGAATAAATGAGTAGAAATCCGTAACTCCTGATCCCGTGGACTTGGAGAGCAAAATTAATAGGAGGAGGCAGGCTGGGAACACTGACAATAGAAGAGGCCTTGGAGAAAAAGATCCACACACCAATTACCTCCTAGCGCTTTTGTTATTTACGATCTAGCTTTAACTTTTTGATATGTTTCATTCGACAAAAAGGCTAAGTTGTGTGATTATGAGGAGATGAATTTGGTTCACTTCTCGCTATTAGATTACGACCGCTAACCAGCAGAGTTGCGATTAAAAAGATCACGGTTTCTCTTTGCTTTGATATCATTCTTAGCAAAATTTATCCGACCAGTAATAATGTTGGATTCACATTTAATGATGTATCTGTAGAGAAAAGACGATACATCTTTGAAGGCATTTGATAGTCTATACTCTCGCTCAGCGAAAAAGCGAAATAACATATTAAAAAGGGGGAATTTCATTAACTCGATATTCTTCGGGCAGAGTCCCTTTGCCCCAAGAAGGAGGAGAGCCCTTGATGATGGCATTGAGGAACATTGGTGGTAGCTAACATAGTAGCCTCAGCCGCAATGAAGTCTCTGAATACTTTTTTCTCTGAATAATCGCCTTTGCGATATTAAACGATGTTCTTTCGGACACAGCGAGGTTGGCTTACAGAAAAAATCGCTCCCAATTCGGAGCCAATACTGAGGGTGTAGAGCTTTCAAAGCAAAAGGTGAATCCGAAGTGTTATTTATGCATAGCAAATTTTTCACAGGGAGAAGGAGCGCTCGGCGTAGCTGGGCGAACCCATAAGAAGGAGGGAAGCTTGGCCTTAGCCGGGCGGACCGGCTGGTTTCATATATTCCTGTTGCTTCTTCCATACGTTATCCTCACCCTTCTTTCCACTCTTCCGTAAATGAACTGGTCTTGCTACTCCCCTTCTGAATCTCTGAATCTAATCACACTCATTTACTTCAAACTGTAAAGGTTTGAGCCTGTCGGATAGGTCTCACGGTGGAAAACCACTTCAGCCATCTACGCCTCGACGAAAGAACTGCTAGTGTTGTGACAGCACCACAACGTGCGGCGACTGAACCGTCGAACGAAATTGCCGGCGATGCTTCCCATAGGCAACCTCGCCATGGCCTTGGTCATCGGAGGGATGAAGATAGAGTCGAACGAGTTGACGACGGCGAATGTTGGAGTGGAAGGCAATTAGATCGGCAGGTGCAACATAATTGAAGTTTTATCAACTATCATACCATTTACTTTCAGACATGTAGGTCCTATCAATTAATTATTTAATTATAAGCATTCTAATGTGATCAACACGTCTTCGCTGTTCTTTCCTATGACCCTTCATCCTTTTCGACCCTTTCCACTTTCTACCTAACCTCCATTCCTCTACCTCTACCTTTGCTCTCGCCGCAACCTTGACATCCCATCCGCATTTTTGAATTTTTCTGTCTTTCTGCTTTTTGTGAGTAGAGCGAGTGCCCCATCAAACTCAAATCGGTTTAGTGTGTGAATTGTCTCAAAAATTCAAAAACACACAAGAATTGGTCAAAATTCTTCACCCAATGTATAACTCCCAGAGCTTTTTCTATATCTGGTCATAATTTCGCTCTTATTTATTCGATGACCGTAATGCGTATGCATGCTACTACATTGCTACTGCGATTCCGAATACTCAGACAAGAAGCTAGCTTTAAACTTAGCAATTATTGGGTTTCCAAGCCCTGCAGCACAAGAACTGGGAGGTTTGGAATATATCATCACAAATTCACAAGTAATTCTATTCGCTAACTTTCCACTCCTACTTTCACCGCCCGGCAAGAAACTCGGGCAACTTCCACCCGAATTATTCGATTCAGTGAATGGTAAGGTGTTCGAAAAGAATTTACGAAGACATAATGCCACCGATGCTATCAGCTTTGAAATCTGATATTAGAGATCAGTATAGATATCGCAACAGTGGACTCTCATCCTTTCTGGCTTACCACTCAGACAACAGTGTGTCCTGACACTACTAGTATGTAAACTTATAAATTCACCAGTTGGGCTACGCATGTTTATGCACGCATTGTATGTCCACGACCTCTCATCCGTAGGTTTAAACTTCAGATGAACTTCTTAAAACTTCAGGTACTTTATCAGATGATATCGAATTCCCGTGTTAGCACACAGACATACAGACACGAGCGCTTAACGCCGGACTTCATTCCTTCGTATGATAGATTCGTGATAGTCGGCACACGGTTCGTTGCTTCTTTGGAACAAGTGATACATTTCGGAAGATGAAATTTGATAGAGAATCAAAAGGTCATGCGAAAGATATTCAAATGTGCCGATGCCTGCGTCCTCCATTAGAGATCACGACCTGTCGCTGTTCATCATGAAAATAATGACCCATTGAAAGTTTAACTGGTAGGCATCCAACGCCCCACAAAGCCCTGTACTGACAAATGTTGTCGAGTCGCAATAATACCATTATCAGATGTCTCTATGAATTAGCTCCTTTTCTCTAGGGATACGTCATTAAATGAGAATCCAAGTTTATTAGCGGTCAGATAAGTTTTGCCATGAACGATATTAATGCAAAGAGATCCTTCATTGGATCGCAAACTTCGTTGGGGGGGGGGGGTTTGAAGCGAGAAGTGAACCAAATTTCATCTCCCTATGATCGGTCCCTATCACTGCCCTTGCCCTTCTTGTCGAATGAAACATATCGAAAAATCAAGGCTAGATCGCAAACAGCAAAGGCGCTAGGATTTGATTGGTGATTGGATCTTGTTCTTTGAGCCTATTCTATCATCATTGTTCCCATCCTGCCCCCTCTAGAGATCCAAAGTTATGGATTTTGCTTAAGCATTCATTTCGTGAAAGCCCCGCCCCTTGTAGGCAAAGTCTAGTCCTACTATCCACCGTAAATGCTCGCATACTGCCGCTTGTTCTCCTGCCAAGTTTGAACGCCCTACTACGAGATTGAAATTTTCGCGCACACCCCGCCTTCTGTGGACGCGGTCCGGTCCTGAAACCCGCCAGAGATGTTCTCATCCTGCCTCCAATAATCCTAATAAATTTCAACGCTCTAGGTCCGTTGAGACAAGGTTTATTGTTTTCCTCGAACACTTATTTCGCGCAAACCAAGCCCCCTGTAGATGGAGTCCGACCCTGCCACCCACCCTGAATGTTCCCATTTTGCCGCCTGTGCTCCTACCAAATTTGGACTTTCTAGGTCCTAGGGAACAGGAGTTATGAATTTCCGTGCAAACAGACAACACAGACAGGCGCGAGCGCTTTATCTATAGTAAGTATAGTCTGGATATAAGACTTCTTAATACAGCTATCAGTGTTCCATTTCATAAGTATCAACTGTAGTGAGGACGTAATGCGATTTTCTATGCACGATGTCATTTTCTTTCTCAATTTAATTTTTTTCCGAGCGTTATCATACTTATTATTAAAAATATAGACAGCTTTTGAGTGATTGGCTGCTTTCATAGTCCGCCGGCCGGCGGGTACTTGCTCCGTTGCTCAACGCCATTCCTCGTGACCTCGTTCAGCGGAATTGTTATCGTGAATTCGTTCAGCGGAACCTTTGCGTATTATTGGTTGCGAATTGACCAAACCAGGGCTCCAATTTCACTTGCATACATGCATTTGATAGGTTCAGTCGGAAAAACCTTTTTTCAACTACTATGTGAGGCATGTACTTCAATTTTGATAAAGCGTGTTGATTTATATCCAGTTACGGATTAACTTTATAATCTCATTTTCCAATCTAGTTTTGGAACTATTGGTAGAAAGGTCACCAACTGATTATGTGCTCCACTGCCCGTTAAGATTCGTTGGCTATTAGTTCCTGCAGTTCGCCTCTGCTTTAGGTCTTGTAACTATCAGCACTGGTCGTGCAATGAAAATTGT